AATAATCCGACATGTAGTGGTCTACAATATCCTACAGATCAAAGGCGGGCGGTGTCTCAAAAAACTTTTCCATCTCTTAAATTGTACTTTTTTTTTTTTTTTTTTTTTTTTTTTTTACCTCGATACTATGCAGTCCAGTGCAATTCGGTCTCTAATGCACCTTACATCCTCCATTGTGAAGTCGAACGGTGGAAGATGACCTCTCACTAAAAGAGACACGTATACAAGCACAAATACTCCGCATTGATTTAAGTCCTTCTGTTTGGGGATGCCGTTCACCTCCAATTTCTGTTTGAAGCAAGTGGCGTCCACTTCCATTCCCTGTTCCGATGACCTCTCCTTCACATACCGCACCACGTTGCTGACTACTTTTCTTGCTACCTCTACGTCTGGTTCCATCGAGTCGTAATACTCGATCACTCTCTGCCTGAGATCCACCACAACAAGTGTCCAATGCTTCTTATGAATGTTGTGATATGGGGCTAAGATCATGTCTTTTTCTGCGATCACCGCCTCCCTGAACCACCTACCAATGTTGTCATAATGGTATCCAAAATTTTCATCCAAAAGCTTCACAAAAACAAAAGAGTTAAATATCAATGCTTTTGGAATTAATCTGTGTTCGTCCGCAGCGGAGTTGTTTGATGGCGTATCGCACTCGTGATGTGTAGTTCTACATATATTGTTGACCTTTATCATATTCATGTAGAAATTTATAGTATCATCGGTTAACCATCTTTTGCCACTCATGAGTACACTGAAATCGTGGTACGTGAACCTTAACTCCACTTGCGTCCCTGGATTCTTCGTGCTTGACAATATTTCGTAATTGTTGAACTTAGTTTCCAAGTGTCGCAAGGCATCTTCTTCAACGTCGGTCAGAGCATGCGTCGCTAATTGAATAGTCCATCCGTGTTTACAGCGGCGTACGTATTGGACGTCTGATCTCTGTTCCACTGCACATGACAATGGAATTGCTTGTTGTTAACATGTGATATCATTCAATTACAATCTGCACGTACATAAGGTAATGTTTTTTATAGGTTCAGTGTTAAAACTGACATTTCTTTCTAAATTCACGAAATTGAGCGTACAAAAAAAACAACATTTTTTAGTGTTTTTCTGCCCCTATGACGTCGGATGATCAGATCATCGTGTGTCATGGCGACACCCGATGATATGGTCATTGGATATATGTGGACGATACTTTACGTCGAGGTACATCAGATGGAGAAGTCAAGATAACCACATTCTCACCCAATGAGCAATGAAATTTAGAAAAAAATGTCAGTTTTTAATGAAATGTCAGTTGGAGAGAGAGAGAGAGAGAGAGACAGAGAGAGAGAGAGAGAGAGAGAGAGAGAGAGAGAGAGAGAGAGAGAGAGAGAGAGAGTAATTTTTGTGTTTGAGCATGTACATGTACCAAACTAGAGGCCAGAGCGGCAACAAATATACAAACGTCTGATCCGGCTCGAATTAATATTAATAAAACATCGAACAATGTGTCCGTTATTAGAGTATAGCTCAGTTTGCATGC